TCTTTGACACACTTTACCCATGTCCAAGTATATGCAATTTAGTACTGTTCAATATATTCATATTATTGTGTAACCACTCCACTCAATTTTACAAGATGGAAAAAGTCATACAGATAGCAGTGATGTTTGTTAGACAATGTGAGTGCACACAGTAAGTCTGGTCATCTCACTTTCACATTGTAGCTCCTATGGACTTCCACCAGCCTTTTCTTGTCACCACTGACCAGCTACTTTACATCCCACCCACCATAGTTTGGTTAGTCCTATCTGAATCATGATGTTGAGCAAACCCAAACCAAAATCAGCCAAATACCAATTCACCTTGGGTTACATTTCTGGACCAGTGGGTGCTCTGCCTCTGAACCTCATGGCTAAAGCTGTCCACAAAAACTGTGATCAACATCCAAAGAGGATCTTGGAAATTTTATAACCACCCAGGACTATGTTGTTCCTCAACACACTTAGATCATTCACATGCTTCCTGTCCAACCTAGATCAGTTCCATTCTCAAAGTAAACTTGGACATTTCACCAGAGGTACACTTGCAGAGCCCTCTCAGTACATATGAGTAGTTCACAGGCTCTGAAATGACTTAGAATTTTTTGTTTTCTTTTATTTTATTAGGCCTTTATGGTATATTTTATTATTTTTTATTTACTTTATACATTTAATCCCTATATATCCCTTAGCTTGTATGTTGAATTTATCAAAATGAATATACTTCCCACCAGAACAATTGAAGATACAAAACACATTATCATCAATACATTATAATCCATTTTATATCCCAAAAATGCCTGCCTATTTTCCTCATGCTGTCCCCTTTTTCCTGTCCTCTTCCCACATTGTCTCTAGCACCTATAACTATTTTCAATGCTTATATGGCATCTAAACTTTCAGTTTCCACTATGTTTTGAAACACTTTTTTTTGTTGTTGTCTTGCCTGCCATGGCCAGAAGTGGAGATTAGAAAAATTTCTATATTCATTTTTATTTTTGCCAAAATCAGTGCTTCTATTTTGTTGCATCTTTAAACATCAAACGTGGATCATAGAAATAAACTGTTGCTGGAGCCAGCAGATGGTGAAATAGTTATGCCACTGGCCTCCCACATATTCAAATGCAGTTCAAGTCCCAGACTCAGAGATTTAAAACTCAAGCTGGTACATGTACCTGTGTGACCAAGAACCTGAAAGGAGAATGGAGAAGGGATTGTGGTGTAACCATCCCCCCAAGGGTTGGTTTTGTGCTTTCTATCACTCTGTCTTTCTGTCTCTTCAGAGGGCACATATGCCCTATAGCAAAAATCGCTGCTTAAAAAAGAAACTTGCTAAAATATGTGTGTTTCTCCTGTAGTTGGAAAACTTTTAGATCTTATTTATCAGCCTTCTGATTGTTCTCTTTCTGTAGATAGATATCATCCCCAAATTTTCAGATATCCATAATTTTAACTACTGTGGCTTGCTGAATCAAAACTGAACTTGAAAAAAAGTTCAATGTTGTTACCTTCAGAGATCAATTCATATTTCTGAATATTTAAAGGATTTTTAGCACAGCTTACATTACTAAGGATTTTATCCCATTTGAGTTTACTGATGTATGGTAAGCTTTTAATCCTAATGGAAAGATTTCTTCATTTTTCACATTCAGTCGATTCTGATCTAAAAATTTCTCTTCTACACAGTAAGTTGTGACTTCTTCAACAAGATTTTACTACAATTCCCATACATACATGGTTTGTCTTCCTTATGAGTGCTCTAATGTAAAACATGCAATGATTACAGTGAAAGCATTTTTCTACAATATTCCCATTTATAGCACTTACTCCTGTGTTCTCTCATATACAGTAAGGACTAATATTACATGGAAAATTTTCTATTGGTACATTGACATTCACAGGCTTTTTCTTTTGTAAATTCTTTGATGTACATTGAGGGCTGATTTGTAAATGAAAGACTATCTATATTCCCTACATAAATGAAGTTTCTCTCCAGTGTGACTTTTCAGATGCTTACTAAATATAGTTTCTAAGAGGAAAAATATCCTATATTCTTCACATTCATAAGGTTTCACTTCTATGGGAGTCCTCTGACGTACAATCAGCCCTGCCTTCTAGTAGTAAAATGCTCCCTACATTGTTTCTTTCCAGTGTGAGTACTCAGATGTACAATTAAGATGTGACATTTGGGAAAAAAGTTGTATTACAGTTTTTACAATCATAAGGTTTCTCTACTGTGTTGAGTTCTCTGATGTACAGTGAGTGCAGATTTCCAGGAGAATATTTTTCTACAATGTTCACATTGATAGGGCTTCTTTCCTGTGTGAGTTCTCTGATGTGTAGTGAGAGGTGACTTCTGGGAGAACGTTTCCCTACGTTCTCCAATGCCTATTGAGAACTGATTTCCAGGAGAACCTTTTCCTACATTGTTCACATTCATAGGGTTTTTCTCCTGTGTGAGTTCTCTGATGTACAATGAGATGTGACTTGCGGGAGAACTTTTTCCTACATTGTTCACATTCATAGGGTTTTTCTCCTGTGTGAGTTCTCCAATGCCTATTGAGAACTGATTTCCAGGAGAACCTTTTCCTACATTGTTCACATTCATAGGGCTTTTCTCCTGTGTGAGTTCTCTGATGCACAATGAGATGTGACTTGTAGAAGAACCTTTTCCTACATTGTTCACATTCATGGGGCTTCTCTCCTGTGTGAGTTCTCTTATGTACAGTTAGGTAACACTTCCTGGAGAATGTTTTCCCACATTGTTCACATTCATAGGGTTTTTCTCCTGCGTGGATTCTCCAATGGTTAGTGAGATCTGACTTGTAGGAGAACCTTTTCCTACATTGTTCACATTCATAGGGTTTTTCTCCTGTGTGAGTTCTCTGATGCACAATGAGATGTGACTTGCTGGAGTACCTTTTCCTACATTGTTCACATTCATAGGGTTTTTCTCCTGTGTGAGTTCTCTGATGCACAATGAGATGTGACTTGAAGGAGAACCTTTTCCTACATTGTTCACATTCATGGGGCTTCTCTCCTGTGTGAGTTCTCTTATGTACAGTTAGGTAATACTTCCGGGAGAACTTTTTCCTACATTGTTCACATTCATAGGGTTTTTCTCCTGTGTGAGATCTCTGATGCACAACGAGATATGACTTGTGGGAGAACCTTTTCCTACATTGCTCACATTCATAGGTTTTCTTTCTTGTATGAATTTTCCAATGTCTACTAAAGACTGACTTGAAACTCAAAGATTTTCCACATTCCCCACATTCATAGGATTTCTCTCCAGTGTGAGTTGTCTCATGCACAGTGAAGTGTGACTTCTTGTAGAACATTTTATCACATATTTTATTTTCATAGGATTTCTCTCCTATGTAACTCCTCTGATGTACAGTGAGGTCTGAATTCTGGGAAAATGTTTTTTTACATTGTTTGCACTCATAGGGCTTCTCTCCTGTATAAGTATTCAGACAGTCAGAATGGGCTGTGTTCAGACACAATAGATTTATATATTGTTCTATCTACAAATTTTCTCTCCAGTAAGAGTTATCTCATGTATAACAACAGTTGAAAGCTTTGGTAATTGAAACACATTATAAGGGTTTACTTCTCTATACTTTCTCTGCTTATCATAATTTTTGACCTCTGGAAAAAGGATTTTTGATGTTTTTTATATTTATTGTGTGTTTCCCTTGTTTGCATTCACTGATGAAAAGGTAGATTTTAATTCTGCAATAAGGATTCAAATTCCTCTTTATGTGAATAGAAACCTTCCACTTTGTGTTTAAAATCTACTATAAAAATTATTTCAAAAAATACTTTTTCACATTCTCTACATTTATAGGGTGCATCTCATATTTGTATCTTCTGCTGAATGAGACAGTTAGCCTTTTTATAAAATGCTTTCTTCCACACCTGAACTATATACTAAGCAATAAGAACTGTCTAAACACACGTTTTGCCATATTTATTTTATTTACAAGCAGTCTCTCCATATTCATCCTCTTTGGACGGAAAAAGACAGGGACCAGCAGTTAGCGTAATGGCTATGTCACTGGACTCCCATGTAGTCAAACTTTGTTTGAGTCCTGGACCAGGTGGCTTAAAACTCATGCTGGATGTGTGTGCATGCGTGCCCAAGGTCCCGAGAGGAGAATGGAAAAGAAGGGATTTCAGTGTGGCCATCCCCCCTGGGGAGTGATTTCTCGCTTTCTACCTGTCTGTCTGGCGAGCGCACACACCCTATGGCAAAAAACCTCTCCAAAAAAAAATTTCCATAAATTATATTTGAGAATTTATTTTACACTGCTCATGTATATTTCAAATATTGGTACTGATCTATAATAAGAAATATGGTTCATTGTCCTTAATATGTTACTGTAGCAACTTACATTTATATTTTGAAAGCTAGGTGTATTTACTTTGTTCCTTTGTGCATCCCTTTCCTTTAATACCTTTAATAATATTCAAAATATCTATCAACTGTCTTCCCATAATTTTACACAGAAAGATTTCCATGTGTCATTTCTTTTCCCTGTCATTTTTCTCTTTCCTCTCTTATAATGTTGTGTATTGTGTACTGTTTATTTGCTAATGTGAACAGTTTTCTAGATCATTTATTTACAGAAGTCAGAAAGAACTCTCTTGTCACTTAAGAAGAAATGTTACTAGGAAGGACTTGTAGCCAATAAAAATACATACTAATTACCCTAAATATGCCATCCCGAAAGAACCTTTAAAAATTATATACCCATTCTTTTCACACTCTTATCCCAGAAAAACATTGCTACATTTTTCTAACCTCACTAGTACTAAGTTTTTGTTTTCCCCTCTCAATAAAATATAAAT